AAGAGATCCCTTAACCACTGCAAATGGCAGTAAAGAAGAGTGAAGCTCTGCACAAACTTCCTGTGGAATCCAGGAGGACAGGATGGCCCAGGCTACATATTTTGTTTAGTACATATTTTGTTTAGTGCCAATTCAAAATGTGTTAAGAAGGTAGATGCTGTTTTAAAACATATTCCACTGGTTGGCTTCTGAATCTTGGTATAGGTTGTCAAAAGTATATCGTTTGGGCACCTATCTTCTACATTTTCTATGTGTTTTTCATATGGTCTCTCTTTGTGTTTTGTGTAAAGTGTTGATTCTCAGATTTGGGAAAAGAATTGAACTATAACCATTTTTTTGGCTTGAAATCATGCCTAGCAGCTTTTGAGAGCTGAATGATCTATAGTCTGTGTCTTGGAAGTCATACAAGCATTTAGTTGGTGGTTGTTATGCTTGCAACAACTTTTTGGTTTAACTGAAGCAATAAATATAGATGCTAGGAGAATATCGTCTCTGGTTTGTAAATGAAAAGAAAAAAAAGCTTTTACCAGCTATGGTTTTTTTTTTGTTTTTTTTTTTTTTAAATCTTAAATAAAAAAAAAAGACAGTTGATTGCCTTTAGGTATAAGGGATAGGGATTCAGTGAGTAAGCCTGAATTCTTCAAAAGGTACAAATCACCATTTGCATGCACGTTTCATTAATCTGAATTGTTCACTTATTTACCAGATTCACTTGAATTATTTGGGAAACTATATCCCCAATGCTTGGACACGGGAAACTGGTTGCAGTATTTGTGATTTAGACTTACTAGACCTGTCAACAGTAATGGTAAGAATACTTTTCACAAGAACAAACCCCTTTTGAATGCATTTGATAGGTGTATGGCGATTTCTGAGGCAAAGCGGCTTCAGTATGCAATATTATGCTCTGTAGACACCTCAGGATATTTTTTCTGGTATATGAAATTGTAAAAATGGAATTTTAATTTACTGGGAATATCAATACTTTTAGAAATGTTTTTATGCATGCATTTTAATATAGGTTTCCCCAACATTACTGAAGATGATCCCATCCCCAAAAGCCCTCCAGATCCTTACCTCTGTTCACTGAGGGTGAATGAGTCATTTTTGAATCATGCAAGATTCAAGTGAGTAATTAGAATTTTTGAGAGGTAGAAAAACTCTTTAGATATTTTAGATATTTAACTGTAAGCCTACAAAAAAACTTGGATTATGCATCAGTTCAGTCTTCAGAATTCTTGTAGGATAAACATAGATGTACACATGCATGTGTGTGTATATTAAATATTCGGGAACTTATTTTGGCTCTTTGGCTCCAAGCAAAGAACAAGTCTTTTCCTCCAAGCAAGTCTTTAGTGTCTTTATGAATATTTCGGCTTGTACTCGGTAAATTTTAGGCAGAGCTAGCATATGGAAATGTAAGATTTGTACTTAAAGGAACATTGTGATTATTGTTAACAGGCTGTTTCCAGCAGCTGTTTCAGTCCTGTTCTTTATTGAAGATTTGAATGCAAACAGGTCTTAGAGGATCATGTTGAAGATAGCATGAAAGAAGTAGTGGCTTGTTATCTTTGTAATGAGAGGACAGAGTGAAATAATTTCTGCACAGTAAGCACCTTATGGACTAGAATATATATTTTAAAAGTTATTGCTGGAATTGTAATAACTTTCAGATTCTTTTTAGATCTTCTTTTTTAATGTTAATTTTGCTTTGAAAATACAACGTTCTAATGGTTTTCTACAGAAATAGTGTTTGCACTCTCAATGCAAAGTTTACCTGAGGAAAAGAAGTTGTCTTATGTTTCTCCTGATGGTCTTGGCAATTAAAACATGGTTGGGGAGCAGTTAAATCTTAAAGCCTGTAATGGGGAGTAACTTGCAATGATTTGCTGGATAGCTTCCTATAGTTTATGTACATCTACTTGGAATGTGTCTTCCTTACTGTAATTCATTCCTTGGACTTCATACCTCACACACTCTGCCAGCAGAAATAACGAGACTTTTCCTTGGCCTCAGTGGAAGTGTTTACTTCAGGCATTTCTGAGTACAAGCAATATTTCATTTTCTGAACGTGCTTTCTGTTCTGGCCTGGCTGGTTGCTACTTAACAAGAAATCTTCAGTGAAAAGAGCAATACCAACTCTGTGCCTCTAATCATTCTTCCCATATTGTTTTATTTAACTTTCTGCATTGTTGCACGCATACCTTCTGGAGATTTTGCTTCCTCTTCTCATAAGCAAGTAGAGAATCAGATTTGTTGATACCAGCTATGTTTTGGACTTTTGAGTTCCTTTAGGTGAATTCTGGCATGAATGGGTCCTTGACTCTGTATGATTATGACTCAATATGCTTAGGTGTTGTGGTTTCAATTTTTTGGGCTGGGCTTACTTACAGACCTTGACTTTAGCAGTACAAAACAGGTAAGCTCCAGTGTAGAACAAGGAGCTGAATTAATCCTGCTTTCCATCATGGGCACAAGCTGAGCTTTGGGGTTACCCGTGAAGGAACTGAGAGCCACAAACGCAGAGGCTTGCTCGGTCCTTGTACTGTTCACAGGAGCAAGATCTCCCATGCTCTGACCATGGCTGAGGTGTGGAAACACTCAGTAACTGTTTCTCTGCTAATGCCAGCAGCCCATGCCACCCCCAAATTAGCTACCTGCCCAAGTTAAAGCAGGGTAACGGTAAATAAATTGACGAACGCACCTTGGCTCCATGAGTGTAAATTTTTGCCACTTTTCTTAAGTCTAAAACCTAAATTAAATTGGACAGCAAGCTTAATCACCTTAGAGCTACTTTTTTAAATTCTAAAGTTTGTTGCTGTTCTGGCAGTTGGAAAGGATGACCTGGCTCATCCTCTCACTTTGCTCGTGCCTCTTGTGGCAAGGGTTCCTGGACTTTGTCTGGACTACTTTTGTGTAGTATGACTACACAGAGCATTGTCCTGTATTTCTTCCAAAAATTGTCATACAGTCACCCACTGGTTCTGAAAAAGTAAATTTAAAAAGGTAAACATATGGCCTTAGTAAAAATGAGAAAGTCTGTCAGAGAAAATGTAACCCAAGACTGGGTATTCCCAAAGTGGTTTTGCTGAGGCATAATTGGTAAGAACCAAAACTTCAGACTTGATAAACTCAAAATGCTGGGTATTAAAACTGCTTATTCTGACCTAGATTCAGATGATGCAGTGGCAACTTTTTATAGTATGGTGAACCAGATCGATGAACTCTCTGCTCTGAGGAGGTGCAGCTTGCAGTAATTTTTATTCTTAATTTTTTAAATGCTGTTTTGGTTTGGTCACGCTCTTGAGATTTTAGTGTAGACATTTGTGCCAAGTGCTTCACACTTTGCTGTATTGAAGGACTGTTAGTAATTCCTGATTGTCCCTATAACTTTTGCAGATCCAGGCTGAACCTGCTTCTCTTTGCCCTGGAGAATAACGGGAAAATGCCTTAGAATTAGAGGAATATGCAAAATAAATTATTGCAGCAGTTCTATTATTGGTAGCACATGTTCATGTTCAGCTTAGCAAGCCCGATGGCACACGCTGCTTTCCTGGTCACTCACAATCAGCAGCACCAGTTACCATGGCAGCCTCAGAGGAGTGGTTGCCAGAGAATATCACAGTTGCTTTTTTTCAAGGCATGCCAGTGTACTTGTCTTTGTCAGCTGTTTTGAAGCTATTAGGATGTCTGCATGAGTATGTATTAGGTTTGCAGATGAAGTTGTGAATAGGAGGTAGTCAGGGTAAACATATTTGCCTAATGTTTCCGATCTGGTGCACTTGCCAGTATGTTACTGGATTTCCGATGTAGACAGTGACACTGTGAAATCTCAACATGAGCTGATGGTTTATCCAGATGCTTTTCAACTGGGTGTTGGCTTGCTTAAGGGAAGCTAACTTGCAGCCTTTTATAGTCATATAAGGTTTCTCTCTGAGCCTTGTAGTGGGTTGGATGTTTGTACTGTCTGTTTTAGAGGTGGAAAAAAGATTTTGTTTAATCAGTGCATTTTTTTTTTGTGAAGGAGTCAAGGCCTTTGAAGGTTAAATTTCTTTGTCTCGTGTAATGTAATAATATATCTTAGGAATACACAAAGGTGCTGTCTAGGTTTGTTTTAGTGGTCATGATCTCTATATCAAGCACCTACAAGTCAGGAATTAATACCACTGTTCAAAAGATGTGAATTCACATTAAAATAAGGTGGATAAAACTTCAGTACACTTGGATGCAAAGGGAGAAGCTCTAGTTAGTTCATCAAAGGTCATGATAAAATCAGTGAGTAGGGAAGTAATGCAGAGCGCACATATAATGGCCAGGGGGAAATAGTGCATGTAAGTAAAATATTGTGTGGTATTTATTTAACTACTTTTATAAAACTGATCTTCCCCGTATCTTCTTGTAAATTTAACATATATGCATATGTTACTTTCAAAAAAATGAATTTGCCATGCAGTTCTAGATGTATTTCCTTAAATACTTTTTTTTGCCATTTCATTTTTTTTTAAGTAAGAATTAAAAAAACTGTAATACGTTATTTTCTACTTCCTATTTCTGTTGTAGGAATTCAAAGAGTTTTCTAGCAATATTAAATCCATTATCTTTGCTTATTTAGTGAAGTCAGTGAAAATAAACAGGGGGCATAGTACTTTTGAGCTAGTTGGTTTTGATTGTTTGAAAGCTGTGCGGCCTAAATTACTACAACATGACTTTAGCTGCTTTTTAATTTAACTAATCTTAGAAATGAGGAAAGTCTTATTGGTTGTGTCAAAATATCATTTTTTTTAGGAATATCCAAGAGTAAAAATTGGTGTTTTCATTGAACAACCCACTCCTTTCCTACCTAAATTTTTAGACAGACTGTTGACTCTGGACTACCCAAAGGAGGCACTCAGTATCTTCATTCATAATAATGTAAGTATGATGTTACTATTGTGCAAAGCTTCAGTTTTGGAAATTATAGTATGAATGAAAGTATGTGAAGGGAGCATATGGATACTATATGTGTACATAGTTAAACTGCATAGGAAGACATAATCTTTCAGAATTCAGTGTGCAGAACTGGAAAAATGAAATTGTGGCAGTGATTACTGAAGTCTGTTTAAAGAAACTGCTTAGATTCTTTCTCTTTCAGTAATGAAAAAGATTGTATTTTAAAGTGTGTGCTTCTGGGGGAACTACTGATTGACATAAAACAATATTGTAGAATAAAAATAGAATAGTTCCAGTTGGAAGGGACCTACAGTGATCATCTAGGCCAGCTGCCTGACCACTTCAGGACTGACCAAAAGTTAAAGCATGTTTATTAATAACTGTTATCCAGTAGTTGACATTGGATTTGCTTTTCATCTTGTTGATACCGCAGTGCACTTATGTGTCTCTTGGTGCCTCTGCTAGGTGCCATGGGAAAGACTGGTGTGTCCAGGTATATTTTGAATGGCAGTACAGATAAGTTGCTCTTCTGAATATTTTTTAATGCTTTATGCTAATTACCTAATGATCTGGTGTTGCTGACACTTCACCAGTGCCTTCAGTATTGCTATTTTCATGAGTGAGGTGACAGATGTGTGTAAGTCTTTTGGAAAAAAACTGGCCTGGAAGAGAAATGGGAGGAAAATATAATTCTGCCCTTTTTCACTTCGCGTGCATTTCTGTTGGTATCATAGCACAGAAGGCCTGAGCAATAGAAGTAGGGCTTATCTTTAGAGTCTTCAGTGTGCTTTTGTAAGGAGATGTTAATGGTATAATATATGTGATATGCACAGAGGAATTGTAGGCTATGCTAAGTTTTGTTGCTTCAGCAAGAAGTCATACAGTATGTGAAATGAATATAAAAGATTGAATAGCTTTTTTATCAAAGAGGGGGGAAAGCCCTACCCAATATTTTAATTATTCTAATGTCAGCTATCATATGCAAAAGCTACAAATGGGGGCACTGTGTTGGAGGCATTACATGCAGCTGAGATCTCTTAAATTAGAGGTAGGATAATGAGAAATTATGGAAACAATCACTGTGACTACATTTTAAAGAAACAATGACTGTGACTGTCCACGTAGGTACAGGTGGCAGCTCTCTCTCTAAGGCTATTCTCAGTGGCACACAGGAGTTTTTTTGTGCCACTCCAGATTGTATGATGGGTTTTGAAGATAATATAGTAAAATAAATATCCTGAAAAAATATTGCATAAACATTCTGTGAATCTTGTATCATTGGTCTGGAGGTACAGCTTTGATTTATACTGCTGATTTGTTGGATTCTTTTGCTAAAATTTTGGACAAAGACCTTCATTTTAATGACAGATGTACTGGAATATCTTCAACTACTGTTCGCCATCTGTTTGTTTAGGATAGAATACAATGTGTTCTTGGACACTATGTTTATGATTTCACAGCAAGTTGTACTTTTCATTCACTATAAACAATGTTAACATGATTACAGGAGGTTTACCATGAAAAGCACATCAAGAAATTCTGGGAAAAAGCCAAGAACATTATCAGAAATATAAAAATTGTTGGACCTGAAGAAAATCTGAGTCAAGCAGAAGCCCGGAACATGGGAATGTAAATTCTATTTTATAAATCTATTTTAATGATGCATATGCTAACATTTTTTCATCTTTTATGTATATTATTTTCATCTTTTATGTATATTGTTTTGCATCTTAAGCACTAACTTAAGCACTTACATCCTAAGATACAAAAGTGGGAGCTTTTGTGGTAGAACAAGATCTAGATATATGAACTGTTGAGTATTTTATGATTTCTGTCTAATATAAAAAGCTGTTGGTCATTGTGAAAACATCGCTCTGATTTGGACTACTTTGATAGTCTGTCACCTTGTGTTCTAACGAAGGCATAGGCAATAGTAGACTACTATAGAAATAAGAGGTGTCAGATTATTTTTACATAATAGTTATCTCAAAACATGGGTATATATTAAAACATGAGGAGCATAAACTATAAAGTTTAAATATTTTTTATTAAAGAATGCTATTGAAATAAAATAGATGGTACAATACCACAAACTTTTTATTAAAGTTTGCACAGAAAATTATATGTAGAGGTAATTTAAAAAAAAGAAGGTGGAAGCAGATACAAATATAAATAGAAATTTTTATCACAGTGTATCTTCTAAAAATGTATTTGGTTTATTTTTTATCCAAAACCTTTTCAAGCTAAGTTATCACAAAGTGATTTCACAGAAGTACCTCTTGCATTGGATATGCGTTTAACAATTGCGCTCTTGTTGTCCTAGTCCCAACTCTTCTTCTTTTTTTTTTTTTTTAAATGACATTACATTTCAGTAAAAACATGGTTAAAGCTTGACCTGGGCATACAGGTGGCAGAATTATATTTCTTCCTGTGGTTCAGAGAGACAGGAGTATCCTTTAGAAGTGCTCGAGAAGAAAAAAAAAGGACTAGCAAAGGCAACTGACTTTGTCTTATCCATGGTCTTGCTTTTTTTCTTCTTTTTTTTTTTTTATTTTTGGTTTTTTGTTTTTTGTTTTTTGTTTGGTTTTTTTTTTGTTTTTTTGGGTTTTTTTGTTGTTGTTTTTTGGTTTTGGTTTTTTTTTTTTTTTTTTGCTTTCAGTCTTACTAGGGAATCCAGCTCTTTAGCTTTTAAACCTGGCACTTGCCAGGCCTTCATCTGACCCTAGTATCCTGTGTCTGACCTGCCTGTCAAGGGGTCTTTTCAGTGGCTGCAGCACTGGCTGTTACCACAGAGTTGCTTGTGGCTCTCCCAGTATGTCCATCAGTCAGATTATGGAGTTTTACAGACCAGGATCCCTCCAAGACCTTGCTGTGGCCTTTGAGCAGGCTTCATTCTCACATAATTCTTCCACTCTCTTTTCTCCCAAATCTTCCATGAGTGTCAGAGTGAAGAAATTAATTTTGAAAGGCCCTTTTCTTTTATATTCGGAGGTTAAGAGCATAGCATAGGCTGTTCATGGCATAAACTGAAAGAACGAAGGACTAGTCCTGAGTCTCTGTGGTGTTCTTGGAAATTTGTTTGAATGGGGTTTTGTTGTGCTGAAGCCACTGGGAAACTGATATTTGGCTGAGGTCCAAGCCTCTCCCATAGCCCTTCTAGGAAACACTACAGATGTCCAGTGGTAGTGTAAGCAGCCATTCACAATGCTTATAAATAATTCTTTCTTTCTTTCTTTCCAACAGTCTCCAAAGCAAGTGTAATATGTTTGCAAAATTTTTGAAGTAGTGTGTGTTATGTGTAACTGAGGTGGAATTTCTGGAGTTGCCTTTTCCTCTTTGGTGTTACATAGACACCATAAGGCAGAGTCTTCAGTGTAAACAATTTCTGTATTGCTGCTAAGTCTCACCCAATGATCTTTAAACCTGTCATTTCTTGACAGAACCTACTGACTTATGTGACAGAGGTTTTAATATGATACATGGTCTTTGATCTGTGGATAAAAAATAGTGATTTAAATGTATATTTGTCCAAAATAATTTCAAATTCTTCTATGTAAGGTGGGGAGATAATCATACTTGTGATGTGTACCACTGGATACAGTACAATGTGATGTGTTATCCATTGTCTGGATATAACTTGACCCATGTTCCTCCTGCTTTGAAAGGGTTCTGTCCTAAAGAGATACGTAGCATATAGAGAAAATGGGAAGTATAATGCACATGTAATGAGACCATGCCAAAATATTGAATAACCCAGAAAGTAAGAGTATTGGTAGTAGGATCTTTCATGTCAACAGTGTAGATATAATTTGATGGCTCCTTTCAATTTGACTGAAGCAGGTTCAGTTCATCTGCTGCTTCTTTTGCACTCTTGGTCTGCTTGGCTGCCCTTGTGAACATCGCCAACTTTTCTGGAACTACTGCATTTTACGTTTTTCTCAAAAAACCTAGTTTGGATACTATAAAAAATTATTTCCTTTCAACCCTTCAGATGGCTTTCAGTGTAATAGCCTCATTTGTTTCTCACTAATACTGCAATGGGAATAACTTGAAAAGAGTGATTCTTGAAACCTGTTTAATGGCTTACAGGGATCGATATATTCAGTCTTCTGATTGATTAATTTTCTGCTGCCTCTATTTGCATTTATTGGCTGATAGTTTTGATCTGTCTGCCTCAAACACTTGCTTTCTCTCTTTTTCCAAATGATTTTAGTGTCTCTCTTTTAATTTCCAGAAGATTTAAAATTACTTTGGTCTCCTCACTTGCACATTTCACACAAAAAGTGTATTTATTTGAATCAGCAAAGCAGGCTTCAATTAATACAGTTCAGTGCCTAGCGATAGAATAAAAAAAAAAAAGAGAGAGCAAGAGAACGACCTTAAGCATTGAAGCTCTGGTTTGTTTTCAGCAAAATACTTTTGAGTATATAACACAGTTGGGTCAGTTTTCTCCTTGTCTCTTTTTTTTCCCTTTTTGGCTCAGTAAAAAGTGATGATAAATCACAGTGAGGTTCTCAGTAAATGAAACTCTCTTATGTCAATATAAATGAGAAAATAGCATTTTTTTAACTTCACCCTTAGCTATACAGTAAAACTCTATCTACTTTCACATAATAAAGAGTAATTGAAGCATTTACTTTCTTGCTTCTTCTTGATATGGAAAGCCCTCTCCTGTGCTCGTGAAAGTTGGATAGGCGTTGGAAAGGACCTAAAATTGTGTAGTCAGCAAAGACTTGTTACAGTTCAACAATATTGGCAAACAGGAGTGCACAGCTTTCCTTATCATGGGCTAAAACAGAATAAAAAGGGAGGAAAATAAAGTAGAATAAAGAGAAGAAAAGTTTAGCTGCATGTTGTCTGAGTATTTTGTCTGCACAGACGTCCCTTGAAACGTTTTGGGTTTTTTTTTTGCCTTTGTCTACAAGGAGTATATTAGAGTTCTTACAGTTGGTTCTTTTTTTCTTTAAGAAAAAACTCATTTGTGGTTTTGCCTTGTTTGGACATGAGATTTCAGCCAGCTGTTGCAGAATTTGTTATAACAGAAAATGTAAAATAACAATATGAAATATGTTCAAGCAATAACAGAAAGTGGGGAAATAGGGGAATTTATCTCATTTGCTTCTCTGAGGTTTTATTTATAAAAAGCTTATTTTCCATAATTTTTTTTTTCCCCTCAGTATTTACGGACTTTAGGGTTTCTTTTTGGAGGGATTGTTTTTTTCCTCCCTCAAAAATATTAGTAATAGAACTAGCTAGTATTTTTCCTGAACTTTTTAAAAAATGCTATTTACCTCAACTTTTAGTGGGGATGTGCACATTTTAATGAAAGGTTACATTGAAAGCTTTCAAAGGTTTCAGGAAGAATAGCAGAGAGATCAATATCATTTGATATTGATGTCACTCTTGAATTTTGAGCTGAATTTGGGGTCTCCTATGCACTTCTTGAAAGTGAGAAGGTATAAGCCGGTGGCTCTGAGTTCCCATTGGTATTGATAAATGATGCCATGGGTGCAGGAGGACTCCCTTTCAGTCCTGCGAGTAGGGCAATTATCTTGGATGTGGTTGAAGGAAGAGCAGGGGTTAAATGTGTGTCTCCCAGATGTCAAGTGATTTCTGTTGGAGACTTGGATTTTCTGAAACTGCTTCTCCTGAACACTTTAGCAGTTTTGGGTTTCAGCCTCAGAGGTAGGAGGAACACTTTGAACTCTGAGTGTTGCAGAAGAAAAATTATTTTCACACACATACCTGATTTCAGTAGCTTCCAGGTGTGGTAACAACATTTAAGTCTGAGATGCAAAACTCAACATTAGTGCTTTATCTGTTCTGTGGCTGTATTTGTTTGTTTTTAGTGATGGGTGATGATAAGAGTTTCTTTATACTGTTGCAGCTATCTGGAGAAATGTAAAATGTAGTCCTAAATGGCAGGTAATGTCACCTAGTCTTTCAGTGAGTGTTGCAGACTTGTATCTGGGGCACCTTTTCTTTCAGAGGTCTGTCAGATGGTGTAAATGCTCTCCCTTCGGGCTCACAGTCCACATTTGGAATTGTCTGTCCAAACTCCAAGGGGTTTGTATATATATATATATATATATATCCATCTATATAAATGATATATAGATTAATTGCAAATTCAAACTATGTCTAAAAAAAATGTACGTTACTCAATGGTAAAGAAATTGAGTAGACTATATGTCTTACTGCTATAAAGAACTAGGCCCTTGGAATATCTCAGTGGAAAGTTTGACAAAGAGCAGAGCAGTGACACTCTCCCTTTTCAGATGGGGTCGCTGTTCCAGATGGGCTCACGGTTTGTAAGCAAAGTTAAACATTGCTCTGATTGCAAAATACTGTAAGCTGACATGCTGAGTTTCCACTCCACTTCCAACAAAAAATCTTGGCCTTCTACTAAAGTTTTGTTAATCGTTACACTGAAATGGCTTTAAGTTACATACAAAAATATAGCTTTATTTTCAATATTTGGTCCTAGTTTATAAGCATGTGGCATGTAAAGCAAGTAGATTAAAGGTTTTAGCCATTGAATTTAGATTAGGAAGTATACTGCTATACATGTGAGTGTAGCCAGAAAGCACTTTCCACTTGTTCCTTGCTGCAACCTGGATATACATAATAAATAGTTTCACATATAATCTGGGATTTCTACATCTGGAGAGGTTAGCATACAATCTAAGAAGGTAATACTTTAAAGCATGATAATATCCAGGGTTACTTTATTTCCTTGGGAAAGCTGCTTGGCAACATTGAAAGCCTAAAGAGAAATGCATGCATTCCATAAGAGTAGGCTTGCTTTATTAATTTTGACAGAAACTTCTGCAAAACTCTTTCTGTGTATCTAAAACTGGAAGTGTTTTGTGGAGATTTTTATTAGTGACCTTAAAGTGCAAAGGCAAAACTTACACTTCACATTTGACATGGTGACTTGTATCTGGAAATGCAAGGAGAATTATGCTTTAAACATGAAGTTTTGCCATTTGGTGATCCAATCTTCATTGCTGTATGGAAAGAAATAGGGGGAAAAATTAGTCAAATTACGGTCAGAATAGTAGCCTTGATTTTTGGCCTTTTTATGTATATGTATACACACATACATAAATATATATTTTATATATATATACTTAATATTCTTGGTTACCAAGGTTGAAGTTAGAGGTTTCACATTGTAGGTGATTTGTGCTACACCTGAATTTCCAGACTATTTAAGGCAGTAATGCTGTCAAAGAGTTCTCAATAGATTAACGAATGAATGAATGAATGTGACTTAAACCAAAACTTTTAATTTATTATTTTGTGTTTTGGATTACTGTATGAATGAAGAACAGAATGATTTTCAACACTAACACATTGGGCCAGTTTTAATAAAATTTTCTGGCTCTGGCTTTAAAGCAGGGGAGGAAAGGAAGGCAAAAGTTGAAGGACCATACATTTTGAAATTATGTAATCAATTTTTCAGTCATGTTAGCCTACAGCTAAATATAAGTCTGTTCTACTTGTTTTTTCACGTTTTTGTAATTAAAAACATTAATTCCATTGATATTTTTGTTAGCAGCAAAAGGTTTAGCTGCTTTTGGGGAGGTGCTGGCCAGCGTTGTGGCTGGAACCCTGGACTTGGCATCAAGTCTGTTGGTTTCTCAGGTTTAGTTTCCTTGTTAGTAGAATGAGGATAAAGGAGCTGAATATTTTTGGAAGAATTTTAACATCTAATGCCAAATGTAATATAAATGTCAGGCTACTATTAATAATTGTAACGATGCTAATCATAAAGCTACATGTGAATTGCATTCAGTAGTTGTAAAGCTTTGAACAGGATAGGCCAGTTATGGAAAATGCCATAAAGACTTAAGTGCCGGGCTGTGTTATGGCCAAAATAAAACCTGCTGGTTTCAATTGGGGCAATTATGCGAGAAATGACAGCAATTTCTTGATCAGCACTAAAAACATATATGCATAAGACAGGAAACAGTCAGTAAAGGAGATGTCAGTTAAAGCAAACCAGAGACTGACCAAAGATACAAACTACGGGGGTGTGTCCAAACACTGTGACTTCAGCAGCAGTGGGAAGACCATTTCTATAATTATCGTATTTTAAAAATTTGGGTCAAATAATTACTACACCTTCAGTGGTCAAGTTTGAAGAGGAAGGATTGCTTAAATTTATGGAAGAAGAAAGCTCTACCTTCTACTGTGTTTCCAACAAAGTCATTCCTCTGAAGTCCTTAGAGCAGAAGAAAGTTTGAATGAGAAGACCCAAAAGGTGTTGATAAGCAGTAATCCTTACAGGAGACAGATGAAACGCTGAGTTGAGTGCTATGTTAGGTAGTGGAGGGGAACCGAGGGGGAGCAGGCAGGAAGCCAAGCCAAGAGTTGCATTGACTTGCGTGTAGCCTGTCACATCCACCATTTACCAGATCTTCTGAAGTGACAGAGTCCTTTTCCTTTGCAGAAAACAGTCACAAAAAATCACATCACATGGAAATTAAACTAGAACAGTGTTTATAGGCATTTTAAAGCAAGAAAGTAAAATAATTTTAATGTTTCATGCTGTTACAATGGAATTAATGCAAGTTCTGTTGATAATAGTGGGGAAAATAGACAAAATCAATAATACCACCTGCATGATAGAAAGCTACTGCTTTTTCCACTTCCTCTAAACGTGTATTTGATTTACTATGATCTCCTAATATTCTCTTGGCATAGGAAAGCTGAATTCACTATACTGGATCTTAGCCTAGCAAGTGTACCCTGCTAGAAACATACATATGTAGCCTGTGTATCTTACTTTTATCTTTATAGTAGAATGTGTCTTCTGCTTGGCTGAAGCTTTGTCTTTTAGGTGTGAGAATCTATGGAAATAATTTATTCTGATAGAAATAGTGTATGGGACAAATTCAATTCCTTTTTCTAATTTCCATTCACCACCTGTACAATTCTTTTATATTTGTCTTTACCAACTGTGTTATTCCTGTAGGTCGCAAAAAAAAAGATTAGGAAAAGGTCTTTAAATATATATTTCTTGATACTTTTTGTCTTGCACTCTCCATAAGGTTTCAATTACTGTTCAGATCAGCAGATCACATCTATAGCATCTTTGCCCAAAGACAGTGTTATAGCCACAGGCAGTTACTTACTAGAGAAGCTTACTTAATAAGCTCATACTTCACTATTAAGTGACTGTACTGATATCTAGCTATAAAAGTTAGTGGCTTAATTCACACACACACACACACACATACCCTTTTTCCATTAGTTCAGTGCATAGTAGCTCTTACTGAACTTGGTAAAGGTTAGAGATTGCTTAGTTTATTAAAAGAAAAATGTAAGGCATCTGATCCATGTTTTTAAATCTTCTTCTAGTTTATCACACTGCCGTAATCTAAAGACACCTTTCTTTTACTATACTATGCTGCAGAGGGCTTTTAATGCAATGTATGAGTAGAACACTTGGTTGTCGCTTGGGTTTTTTGCATTTTTGTGTTTCGTTGTTTGTGAATCTTTTCCGGACATGTGAGAGTTAACCATTCCTTTTTGTCTTTTTAGGGACCTTTGTCGCCAGGATAAAGCATGTGAATATTACTTCAGCATAGATGCAGATGTTGTGCTGACAAACCCTAAAACTTTAAGAATACTGATAGAACAGAACAGGTGTAGTATATCTCTTGATTTTACAGAATTTCCTCTGACTTGAATTTTCTCCTCCTTTCTCTGGGGCCCATCCAAAGAAAACAAGAACCTGTCTGTTCTTGCAGAGTTATATCCTCTTTATTTATGTGTGGTATTTGATTGCCATAGTTCATAATGGGCTTGGAGGCCAACAATTCACACAGCGTTTTGTTCCTGTCAAGCAACAATTCCTGGTGTGAATTTCAAGTGCTTCAGAGTTCCTCTGAAGTGAATGGTATGGTGTAAGCAGGTTTTATGAAATTAATTAAGATTTCACTGACTAATGATTTCGAAGTTGGTCACACACAAAATGTCTAAAAAACCCAACCCCAAACAACAGCAAAAATACCCCCAAAACAAAACCAAACAAAAACTCCCTAGAGTTTATTACTCTAGTGTTGCAGTATTACTACTTTCTTTTTAAATCACAGATGCAGTAGAATAGTGGAAATGTAATGGAGGTGAAGCAGCTGTAATGACCAGTTTCTCATTGTATTAGTATGATGCCTTAAGTTATAAAAAGCTGTGACTTTATCAGCAGCAGCTTTCAGCAGACTGGGCCTGCTGTGAATGCTGTGCACTTCACTCCTGCTAATTTGTAATTTCCCATGCTAGGTAGGTAGGTGATGTTTGCCTCTGCATAACAAATCTGGGAATCTCAGGTGTATCGCAGAAAGATCAATTATCAATGTTTGTTTTGATGTACTAGTGAGAAGGGATGGAGCTGGTGGTCCTTTGCATTATATTCCTTGTAATATTTACTGTTGTGTAAAGAGACTAAAAGCCAGGTACACTAGGTGGAAGAAACAGGAGCTTTGCAAAATATATCTACCAGTAGGCACCCTCTGAAACAAGGTACCATTCAATTCTTTTTATTCTGGTCAACTTAGATTTCCCCTTTTGACTCTATGAAATTTTGGGTAAGCTAAGTTTCACTGTGGTTTTATTTTTTTATTTTTTTTCTCATGTTTTTGACTTTGTGGTGCTTTTTGTCCTTATGCTATGGGCAGTATATTTTTACCTGACTGAAAACCAAACCACATCCAATTTATAGGAAGCTTTGCTTCTGTTACACTGATATTATTTCTGGTCAGTGGGTACCTGGATGCTGTTTCTTCCAGCTTAAGTTCAGAATAGCTGTTCTGAGATTTGACAGTCATTGGTGCTTTAACTACGCTATACTCCAAACTGAGGAAAGCTGGTGCATTTTGACATGTAGTCTATGTATAACAGTTCATATTTTCTTATTCAATGTGTCACTTCACAGAAAGATAATTGCGCCGCTTGTAACACGTCATGGGAAGCTTTGGTCCAATTTCTGGGGTGCTTTGAGCCCAGATGGCTATTATGCTCGATCAGAAGATTATGTTGCTATTGTCCAAGGCAACAGAGTGTAAGTAATTGTAACCTAATTTTTAAAGTCAAGGCACCCAGTATGGTTATTAGCAACTTATTCTTATGTTTTCATGCAATCTGAAAGCTGAAGAGCTTAGGTTAGTTTTATTTTTTAGCTTTTTCTGTTTCATAGGAATGTGTTTGTTTTCCCATTTGGTTTTTTTCCTCATTCAGAACTTGAATAAAAAAAGAAAGTGTTTAACACGATGAGTTGGTATTAGTAATGTCCATAGTCATTACTAGTACCTGTCTGATTGTGTCTGGTTACTCTAGCATTGCATAACACAGAAAACGGCAAGACAAACAAATAATAAGCCAAAAACTCTGTTTCCCAGGAACCTCAATCAAAAGCAGTGATTGTTGCACTCATCTCTTTGGGGCAAATGTTTAATCAGCTGAACAGCTATAGTTTCTTCATGTGTTTCTTCCTGTATATTATGTTAGATATATCGTAAGGAGCTCTTGAGAAATACTTTTGTCATATAGCCTTTTGGGTTTGTCCTTCCCCTAAAGGAATGTGATGTAAGTTGTTCTAAGCTTGACTTTCCCATGCGGTGATGCCTTTACGTTGCCCTGGAGGAACAAAAAGCTCTGAAACGGATCGACTGCTTGAATAGGATTGGCTTATTTTCAATTACACTGAAAGATGTGCTCGTGGCGCTGGGAGGGAGGAAGGAAATCTGCAGAGCGAGCACTGTGACAGCAATGCTTTTTTGTTGATATTGGCCCAACTGACATAAATATGTGGCCTGCTGTGGTCCTTGAGTATTTGTGTGAGGAGGTCAGGCCAGCTGTGTGAAGCCTCAGTGAAGTCTTTAAACTCAAAAAACTGTTTTAGAATTACTTTCTCCATCTGGTAGTGTAGAACAATATGAGAGTTTGACCGATTAGCTTAACTATGGAAACATGAAGTACATTTGTAGTTAAAACTCTCTAGAGAATTTCACCTTTCTATTTTTTATAACAATAACTTCATAGAAGTTGAATCACTCCCTGCGCCTACATTTGACATGTCCACAGTGCCCAGCTGTAGTTTTTCAAATGTCTTGGGAATGTTTCAGCTTCATTTCCTTGAAACTTGCTTAGTCTTGTCAGCAAATACAGAGGCACGGATTTGATAGAGTGGGCAACAAGTTAGTTTTCATGGCTTTAAACTGCTTGCATTTGTTTTTTATTTTTTCTACAGAGGAGTATGGAATATTCCTTATATGGCTAATATATACTTAATTAAGGGACAAACTCTCAGATCGGAGATGAAAGAAAAGAACTACTTTATGCGTGATAAGTTGGATCCTGATATGGCACTCTGCAGGAATTCCAGAGAAATGGTAAGGTGTATTTATAACAGCTCGCTTTTAGATACACACAGACTTCTTTGTATCCTGCTACACTTGACTGCTTCACTTGATTGATCTTGGATATTATATTTTTACTTCTAATTCAAAGTACTAGCCAATTTTTGTGACACAGAACATTTTAGGTATATTTCTTTAAATTGTTGTGTGCAGAGGGTTTTGCAAAGCCGGTGCACTGGTGCACTGACTGCATGATGTTTTTTATTTAAATGCACTGGAAATTCCTACTGAGGCACAACCTCAAGAGGATGACAGAGTGCTCAACTTCTCTGCTGTATGTGACTTCAGACTTATCAGTTCATTTAGAGCACCTCTATTATGCACATTTTTATACAGTGTGAAACTTCTAGCAGACTAAGTTGGAATATTTGCAATTTTATATTTAAGTAGGTACATATTTGAACTAATGATGGGCAGTGTCGATATAAAAAGCCTAAGTGGTTTATGAAATTGTACGAATCTTCTTAGGGAGCACGAATTACTCATTAATTTTTCCAGATAGATTAAAACTGTATCAGAAATTTGTTACTTGCATTAAGCTGTAAGTAATGAGAGAAAACGTATTTGCACTGTAAAAATATGAATATGTAAATCCACATTTCTACTGATATTTACACTAGTTTCAGCACAGCACAAATAAGACCTAAACCAGACCTATTTCCAGACACTATAACATTGAAAAATAATTTTGCTGAATTGAACAAGAAAAGTTGGCAAGTATTCATTTTTTTATTCCCTCATAACAAGGCATGATCTCCTTTGTACTGATTCTTCAGAACATCCCCATCCAATTCTGTTGTGAATACAAACCTTCTCAGCATTAGTTATTGCAAACCTGTGCTTCCTATGCGCTCATTAAACTAATCTGACTGGCTCATCAGAAAATTGCTTTCTCTTTTCCTCTTTCTCAGTCTGTGCTGTAAGATGGTCTGGTATGTGCTTGTTTTTGTATTGCAGCAGATAAGAAGGGGCTGGTGGAAACAGCTTTGACATGTGTATTATGAGCTTTGCTTGGAGATGCATGTTGTCTGTAAAGGCATATCAGCTTTTGATCAAAGGCTGCTATTTCCCTAATGTAGCTGTGGAAACCTAATAGTAGTCGGAAAAAGAGAAAGAGATTATGTATCAGAAAACTGATGTGATGATTCTCCTTCATTTTAGACTTTACAAAGGGAAAAAGACTCCCCCTCTTCGGAAACATTCCATATGCTCAGACCCCCAAAGGTGTTGCTTTATTTTTTTTTATTCATTAGTTATTATTACGTGCAGTATTATTCTACCACAGGAAGATACTTCTCCTCTGTCCACTTACTCTGATGAAATACTGCTCTAGCTTTTTCTTCAGTCATCTCAGGTTCAAGGTTTTGCCAGGGACAGGTTCTTCATGACCAGCTCAAAGCATCTTAGAGGTCATTTCCTCTGGGAGGTTTCTCTGTGCTTCTGAGGTCAAGGTGTGCTGAAGCTGTGCTTCCGTAGCTAAAATTGATTCAACAGTCCTAGGAAGGACTAAAGCTGAAATCACTAGCAGGTCGGCCAGGCCCCCTCGGTGACCACACAGGGCAGCTGTGAAATTGGTGTCACTTCAAGCTGTTTTTCTTGACCCAGACCCTCCTTATTCTCCCTGCTGCAGCTATTTTATGATTTTGTAAGTGCCCAAAGCTGGGCACATGTTTAACATAATCATTATCTTCCTAACAGTTTAACTCTTTTTCAGACAAAAACATAGACAGAAATACCAAAGTATCCAAATGGTAATGTCTTCATCTGCTGCAAATCCAAAAGTCACAAACACTTCAGAAGTGAAGTTTTAGTCTGAAAAACAGTAAACTAAAAAAAAACCCATGGAAGCTAAATTTCTTTTAAAAAAGACTGTTTTCTGCTACTATTTCTAATCAAGAGAGTTTTGTTAATATCTTCTGTTAATAGCTTGATAATAAAGCTGTATCTTACCACACTTGATATCTTGCACATATTTTGCAATGTTTGCTTAGGTGAACATTCTTCACAGTGCTCAGCTGTTTTGTACCCTGATCTGAATATTCTTATATGCTGTATTTGCCAATATATTTTTATTTCAGGCCAATTCACGAGAAGGATCACATAGTGAATACTCTGAAATAAGTTTCTTGTTCTTCCATTAGAGCTTTTATTGTTAGCTTATTCTTTCAGTTTTTAATCAGAAACTAAACCCTAGTTTTCTTGTATGAGTATTTTCAGTTTGAGAACAGGTGCTTCCAGTGTGTCTGCTTAGGTTTTCTGGAAAACAAATCAATCAACCACTTCTCTGTTTTTTCCTTTCTATAGCTGTATGTGGGTTTACGTTATGAACAATATATGTTTTGGTTTAATGTGTTTGGAAAATAAATTCAACCAAATGCTTGTAAACAAGAAATTATGAACACTAGTTGGCCATTATAATCAACCATTCAAGAATTAAAGATGCTAAATGTAACAGCATGTGTATAACATGTATGTACAAGTGTGAGACGTATTTTGTGAAAGTGCAGGCATAAACAGACCTTTTTAAAACGTAATTTTTGCTAAGATGGACAGTTTCGCTAATGATATTTTCTCTACTTGGTGTAGGGTGTTTTCATGTACATTACCAACAGACATGAATTTGGAAGACTTATTTCTACAGCCAATTACAATACCTCCCACTACAACAATGACCTCTGGCAGATATTTGAAAATCCTGTGGTATGCATCTTATTATTGATGAAATAGTAATTTTATTTGAAAAATTGTGAAGTATATGTATTATAAAGGACTTGGGATTTAAAGACTTTACATGGAGAACATTTACGCACTAAATATTGGTTGTATTTAAAAGGTGTTCTCTACCACCCACTTAAGCAAACGGCAGTATATCGTATCAACAAGCCAACAGATGACCAGAGTAAGGAGTTAGAGATATGGCCCTGATGTAGCAGGTTTCATGATTTTTGACATGATGAGAACCAGTTTGTTTATAAGAAATCGCTTAATTGTTTCCAATGCTTTCAGTAGAGCAAATGAATAGAATGTAAATTATTTTTTCTCACTTCAAAATTCAGTTGTTCTCTTTTAATGTTTTAAAATCATGTTTTTTAGGACTGGAAGGAAACCTATATAAATCCCAACTACTCAAAGATCTTCACTGATAATATAGTAGAACAGGTGGGTATAAGTAGTTTTCTACCGTAACTATTTCCATGCAAATGCTGGTTTTGTTTGTGGCTGAACAGCTTTTTGATGTTGCGTATCAGGACTGAATCTTTGCCATTTTAAAAACTAGATGAGAAGAGTCCAAAAAACAATGGCTTTAATTGCTCAGAATAATCCAGTTGTCTAAGTAATTGCCTTCTCCAAAATACAGATGTATTTAGCTTATTTATTTGAGCTAACTGGTACCACTAGCAGAAGGCCTAATAACATTTCTGTAGCAGATTGCTGTGTTTTCTGGTATCTAGTAAAGGCAAGCTCATCTAGACACTTTCCCTGGGGTGTGCCTTTCCCCATGGATTCCTAAGTTCTGACAACGATGAATCCAAGGTAAAGCCTTTTGCTGGATACAAAGAGGTCTTTTTGTCTCTCTGGCTCCTTTGTTTCATGCACCTGATCTGGATAGAGCACTTCTACCAGTGCTGGATGATCCGTTCTGTGACAATTAGGGACAATGATTTAATGAACTTTGGTTCCTTAAGAAACCGGGAAAAATTGGTTTTGTGTTTAAAACAATGTTAAATTTTAAACTGTTTTCCTTAATATCTTGTAATGTAGAAGATTGGGGTTGTTATTTAGGGCAACCAAGGCACAGCATATGTGGGTACACTGACACAGCTGTTAACGCTGGGTCATGGCTTACAAGGTAGTTCGTAGATTTTCATTCTGTGAGAATGTGCTTGTGGATCAAGACCAAACTTAATTATTTAAATGTATCTGAATTATGGCTCAGATCAGAACAGCTGATATTCTTTAGTGACCAAGCTCAAAATAGAAGATAGCTGTTAAAGCTTAACTCTACTGAAAGACATAAATGTAGGGTTTTAATTTTAATTTTTTTTTCTTTTGTAGCCATGTCCAGATGTGTTTTGGTTTCCCATATTTTCTGACACTGCCTGTGATGAATTGGTAGAAGAAATGGAACATTTTGGACAATGGTCTGGTGGAAAACACCAAGTAAGTGTCAGCCTATATAAATACGGCCTTAATGAGTGAGTACCCTTATGATAGGAAGTCACTGTGTACTGCAACAAACAGACATTCCAACAATGGCCAATGACTTGAGACATCTGCTTTGTGGTATAAAATGCTTAGTTTATTCTACCATGTAGCTTGTTGTTCAGTAGATTTAGAGACATTACTCAATTAACCTTGAACTAGCAAATTCAGATGCTAACAACTGGTGCAGTTGCTCTAGTAGTTATCAGTTATCCAAGGCTGATCTTGGATGGCTGTTGATAAGCGTTCAGAAAGTTTTACCTGTTTACCTCTTCAGTACTAATTTGTCAAACTTGTCCCCCTAAGCAGTTACCCACGAATGTTATGAGGTATTGTGTTTGTGTTTGCAGAAAGTTCAAAGTATTCATTAACTAGTGCTAAAATCAGAGGAATGTTTGTCATATTCACAAATGTGGTACTTGGAAATGAGATAAATTACAGTCATTACTTTACTGCAGGGAGGACCCTCCGGAAAGGATTTTAACATACTTTTATCTTCAAATTATTTCAACATTACCAGGTCAAGTTGAGGCCTGTACTCTCTTGATCTGATATAACTTCAGTTGCATCTGCATCTCAATAAATAAAACCATTACCCCATTACCCCAGGAAGCCCTTATTTACAGGCAAAACATCCAATTATTGACTAACCTTTTAAAAAAATTGCCAATTTTTGTTCGTTGATCGCTCAAGCAGTCTTTAGCTGCAGCAGTTAGCTGTGAAATTACTGTACAGCAAGCTCACATATGCCCACTAAAGCGTTGCTTTGTTGCAGTTTTGTGATTCTGCAGATTTCAAATAAATATTTGTAGAACTGCCAGAAGCATTCCATGTCCATATTTCAAGGCTATTTATGGTATTTTCATTAGGACAGCCGTATTTCTGGAGGTTATGAAAATGTCCCAACTGATGATATTCATATGAAGCAAATTGGACTGGATAATGAATGGCTGCATTTCATAAGAGAATTCATTGCACCAGTAACGCTAAAAGTCTTTGCTGGCTATTATACCAAGGTATGTGTTTAAAATTTTTGCAGATAATTACTGCACGGCATGAGTAATTCTAAGTATTTTATTGAATATACCCTATTTGGTTTGGTTGGGGAGTTTATACGCGATGTAGAAGTAGTTACAGATGAATGTTGTTATTGACTCAACTTTAAACAAAAAAAACCCCAAGAACTGTGTGTGTGAGTTGGAAGTTCACAAATTGAAGTCTGACTGTATATTTTATTTCAGGGTTATGCTTTATTGAATTTTGTTGTAAAATATAGCCCTGACAGACAACGGTCACTCAGACCTCATCATGACTCCTCTACATTCACAATCAACATCGCTCTCAACAAAGTAGGAGAGGACTTTCAAGTAAGTTGATGACTTACTTAAAAAAATATCCTTTGAGTGTCTAACATTGTTTCCATACTAAAGCCCAAATGGATATAGTTAAAGACCATGTTGAGAAAGAAAAGATGTGCATCACATATTGAGATATGTTATTCCTTGGTGGTTTTTGACAAGTACTAAATTTGATTGCAGGATCTAGAACTATTGATGCAGTCAAGCTGAATTGGTCAAAATGGTTTCAGATGGGAAGAAGGGATTTAAAGAAAAAACTTCAGAGATGTTAGCCATTTCGTTTTTAACATTTCTGAAATACTTTGTTTCTGTACAGTGAAAACCAGTTTTTCATAATTATTTAAGTTGACTCAAAGGGCTTCTTTTCTTTACAACTTTTTTAATGATTCTTTTTTAGATCAGCTACAGAATGAAAGTTTTCAACTGTTGTTCCTGGTTTTGTTTTTTTTTTTTTTAGTTTTGTTTTGGTTTTTTTTCTGGGATGAATTGATATCAGAGTAGAAAATAGTTCAACTAAACCGTACCCAGAGTATGGAGATAGGCACAGCAGTGGCAGCAATATCCAGCTTTGACTAGTAGAGAAACATAACCTGTTTTGTTTATAAACCTGTATTATTCACGTTCCTACTTATCACCCATAGTCTTTCTCAAACTGAAGGTGTGTTTTCTAAAGTAGTAAGTTATTTCAGATTTATTTAAATGCTATCCTGGATAGGGTTGCAGTCCTGGAAGAGGGCCTGTGAACATGATTTGCTTCTCCCTGTTATCATCTACAGTAAAGTTATTGAAGATCTGTTTGTCAGAGTTGCTGCTTGAATGAGTTGTTATCCAGGGAATGCTAAAGCAAAGCAAGGGGAAACCTTTGATTGCAAATGCATATCTGTTATGTATTGCTCTGAAGATGGTGTCATTTAAACAACCTTGTTAGTGGGGGTAGTGAAAAACATAAATATTGTTAACAGCCTTTTAATAATAGCAAAATATTTTAAGTTATGGGTAAATAAAAAGGAACATAATTAAAACACAAGATAAACATTTGGGATTTTGTTTTGTTTGTGTTTTTGCTACAGGGAGGTGGATGCAAATTTCTTAGGTACAACTGCTCCATTGAGTCTCCCAGGAAAGGATGGAGTTTCATGCACCCAGGAAGACTTACTCATTTACATGAAGGACTTCCTATCTTGAATGGCACAAGATACATTGCAGTATCATTTATTGATCCTTAATTTTATTTTTTTTCCCCTTCAGCAGTGTTTGTTTCTTTACATAAACATTTATTTATAGATTTCTTCTGGAAGATGGTGATAAAAGAAACTTTAAGTTACTGTTCCTAGACAGCGAAGTTACTTTGGGCTAAAAGAATGAAAAAAAGAAAACATTCTAAAATTGTTGAAGATTTCTCAATATCTGCTCTGAGCCTTGAGTCACAAAGTAAACATGTCCTGCTTGTTTTTCCATTCTGCTGTCTTGAAGAGTAGCTAAGGAGGGAAAATGCAAAAGCATTTTCTAATGAATCAATTTCTTTGTTGAAAAAAAACCCCAAACAACCCTAAATACAAAAATCATCTGGAATATTTATTGCGGTTTTCATTCAGTAAAGCGACACAGCTAGTTTTTGTGGTGTGTATATTTGGTACCAACCAATTAAAAAACACAGGGTAAAACCAAAATCAAGTGAATAGTGTATACAGTTGCTGAGGATAAGCAATAATTCCAGATGCTGATATATATTGAAGGGAAAACATCTCAGTAGCCTGTTCTCTTAATTCATTTTCAATACTAAAATGTACACTTTTAGAAGAAAAAAATAAATTAATTGTGGAGATGGAGGAAGGATTAGATAATTTAGTTAAGATAAAATGGTTTAGCATTTGTTTTAAAAACTCATCCTGTTGAAAATTTACTTTTCACCAAGTGACCTTCATTTAAAATGAGTTATTTTTCTAAATGTGTAATTGCACCCAATTGATACTGGAAATTTGATGTTTATTTTCAGGACGCTGGTAAATTTTAGTAATAGGATGTTTTATATAGAAAACTTTCTACTCTTACTTAAAACTACTTGAATTTTGTATCAGGAAAATGAAAATGTGGCAGTCTCTCTTTTAAAGCTAAGGGTCTTGTTTATTTTAAAGAAATCGGTTTAAAATATTCCTACTGTATCTACTGTTTGTAATTTAAAGAAACTTGAAGCAAACTATCTCAAAGTCTACCGTGCCAAAATGCACAATGTGTTGGAAAAACGTGAAAAATAAAGGGTAATTTTAAATTAATGTAACAGCTTTTACTTGACTGTGTTAGGTAGTTTCTTTGCATGTTGCCATTGTTCTTGCAGAAATTGTATTTATTGATGAATATTTTTAAAGGAATTGTAGATATATTTAGATTGGAGGTTTCTCTAAGTGTTGAGTTTTGACTTATTTACTCTATTACTATTGAAATTATTTCTCATGTGAGTTGGTGCCTGTGTGCATTACAGAAAGTGCATTACACTTTCAGAACGACCCCAGCAGGATGGATGTTTCTTGTTTTCTGTACCAACCTAACTTTTTTGATGATCTAAACAATAGTTTACTTTTTACCTGCTAATATTTGAAGAACTTTCTATCACATTTCCTAAACAGAAGCTTTATTTGGAGCTGAAAGGACTGGGAGAGGAGTTCAAAGATGACTCTTTTACCAAAAATAAGCGTCTCTGCTTATTTTCCCATTCTGCTGTTTTGAGGAGTGGGTTTAATCATACTTAAAGTGACGCTGAAGCAAATGCATCAAAACTTGGTAACTTCAACAATGTACTGACGTGGGCTGGCTTGACAAGGAATGCCTTTTCACAGGGCGTTCTTTGCTTTCTTTTGTTTCTCTTTACGCTGTCAACTTTTCTCCATTTCAGGCTAATATTTGGAAGTTGATATCCCCTGACTTTGTTTCCAGACATGGAACACCTCTGCCTTAGTGAACGTCTCTATATACGTAGCCTTTGCTTAGGCAAACTTTACAGATCAGAAAATCTTCAGGCCTTCAGAATGAAAGCAGCCTTTGTTAATTACCTTTTTTCTGAGTGTTTGCCTGTGGTCTCTTAGGCTAATTCAGAACAGAGGAATATTTTTACCACTGGATCGGTTACAGTTTACTGTTACGAGGAGCTTTCCTTGAAAAAAACACAAAAACACAATCCTGTAACACGCAGGGGAAGTTCTTTTGCAGAAATTTTTTTTTTTTTGCCTAACCTGTATGTTAATTATGTATTTTTTAGTTCTCAGTCACATCTGGTTTTTTTTAATGTGTATTTTTTCCCTCAACATGTATATGAGGACTTTACTTACTGTTAAATTCCTATGTTTGCAACTATTAATTTACTTTGTCACGTAGTGACATGTAATGCTGCGTTTACGGTGCTGCACTTTTGTTGGAGGGGAAAAATGTGTTTACCATGCTCACTTTGCTAAAATACTCTCTTGTTTTTTCTTTTGATGAAGCATTTGCAAAGGCTAAATACCACCTTTCAGGTGGACGGCAACATGTATGGAAGTGTTCTGATTAATTTCTTAGGAACTGACGGGTATCATAAAAAAGCTTGTTCTTAACAGTTCACCTGAATTAGTTCTGAAAGCTTTGCTGTAATGTCAGCATGTGAGTACACATACTCACACAGGCTAAACAGAATTGTCACTATTAGGAAATTATTTTGAATTTTCATTAATTTTAAAAGCACTTAAAGACTCTTGTGTCTCCAAAAAAAGTTCGTTTGGGGGCATAGAAGATATATGCATCAGGAGGAAAACAGCAACCTTAATTCCAGTAGTGTATGTGAAACTGCGGGAGTACAGGGACATAAAGGTGCTCTGCAACAGATGAGACATATGTAAAGTATTTGATTTGTTCTGCTTTCATCGAGCTTTTTTTTTTCACTGTTGTGTCCTTGAAGAGACTGTGGTGTGGGTAAGAGGTGGGAGAGCAGTATATGGACAAGAGAATTTCTTAATATTTTTAACCAAAAGGAGACTGAGTGTAACTTGTTTTTATTTCATATTCATGAACTATTCTGACTCTGATACTCCTGAAAATGTTCAGGGCATTTGATAGTATTTTACACATTTAATCATCTTTGACATCACTGTGCAACATGTATTTGCCACTTCATTTTTTCCCAAAGGATTACTGTTCCACTCTTAATGAGAGCTGATAGGAATAAGACTATGACAAGCCCAAAAAGAGGGTAGATTTTCAGTGAGGCAATAATAATGAAATCAATTTGACTTTGCCGTTTTCTTTTGTAATGGCTTTCCTCCTACATCTACTGCATTCACGGAGTAAATGTTAATTCAATGCAGGGCTTCCACAACAGCTTCTTTTTAGCAGAGTGTAAGAAGTAAGGAGACAAAGACATTTAAAGAGATGGAAAAGTCTAGAAAGGACCCTTTATCATTCCTTCCTCCCATGTGCACGTACTAGGTTTGCTTTTGTTTTTCTGCTTGAAAGAATTTGCTCAGATTTTTCTTTTCAGCTACTGCAATGATTTTTTTAAAGAATATATGCATTTCGGTTTCTTTTGACTTATTTCTGATGTGGTCTTCAGTGGATTCAATTCTGAAAGAAGTAAGCATTTTTTGAACCTTCACTTCCCTGAATTCTCACTTTCTTGCATGGCAGAGTAGACTGCTTTGGTATAGTTGTGAGTGAAAGGGAACACAATATGTGTCTCAGCAGCACCCTGTGACTGAGGTGTCATAAATTACTTGACTGTTTTTTTTTAATTATGGGACTTTTTAATTCCATAGAAGAGCATTAATTAGAGGGCTGAGCTGTGATAAAATGCATTTGTAGATTTGATATTGGCAGTTCTTAGAGCTGAGATTTGCACTACTAGAGTTAACTAGAGTTGCAGGAGTAAGCAAGTAATTTATGACTGCCAGGAAGTCCCAGTTGTTCTGTTTCTTCCCTCTAGCTGCTGCCAAGAAAGATGGTCTCTGACAGAAAGTTAGTTTCCAGCCAACACTAAAACTGAAATGAGAGCTGATGGTGCAGGATTTTGTTGTACCCAAAAGGTGGAAGTGTCACTTCAAATGGTTTTCCAGCATGGTTTCCCAAATTCTTTCTGTATCTTAATATAAAAAGTTTTTCTGGATCTAATGAAGCAGATAGTCGTGCTCAACACTTACTGAAGAACCTTGTTCTTGTGTACAAATTAAATGTTAAATGCAGTTGGGAAGAGATGCTTTTATCTTCAGTGAAACACTTTATTTCCTAACTATCACAGTATCACAGAATGGCTTGTTAGGTTTTTTTTTTTTTTATTTCTGTAATTATTTTCCCATTTGGCATAGCTTTTAAGATCTGTATAAATGCATTCCACTTATAGGATGATGGCTGTCTTTTAGTGCATTTGGAACAAAATGAGGAGGGTCAAAGCTCAGGAAGGTTCAAAGTTCACCCCATGGAATTGCTTCCTTCTGCAGCTATTGGCACAAAGCAGTGCAGCCTCAATCCTAAACTAACAGGAGAACTAAGAAGCAGTTAATATCCCGACGTGTTGCTAAGTCTGCTAAATGTAGAGAGATGATCATAATTTTCTTTTTCTCTTGGTAATTTATTGCTTTTGGAAAGTCTGTTTTTTGGACTGAGCTTTGCTTCAGAAAAGCTGTTTTGGCTGCATTTAAAGCAATGCCCCTCAGGATTATTTTGCAGAAGAAGCTATCTGATAAAAGCATATTCATCTTAAGGTATTTAATAGAGTAAGGCAACAGTTAAAAAGTAGGAGTTCGGTCAGCATGGTTACAGCCTTTATTGGCATCAGTGCCACTTCAGAAGTGGCAAAGCTGGCCAGCACGGAGGGTATTCGCCACATTGCAGGCAGTGCTTTGGGGCGATGTCATGCCACCTAGGTAGTTGAGAAAACTGTTTTCTTGAAAAAGCTCGCTCGTGTTCTGGGTCCTGAATATCGTTCCCTGTATGCCTGCCTCCTCCACTTGCTACTGTTTTATCGTTGTTGAATGTCTCAGAGTGCCTGAAGTTGGCAAGGGAGATGCATAGTTGCATAGTAACAAATTTATTTAGGTACTACTAGTCTTTTGCTTGAACCTGTAATTCTTCTATTGCCAAGAATTTGGCTTAGTTGTGAAAGGAGTTGCTCAACTACTAATGGCTTTGCACCATTTTGTTTCTGCCATCTTCTAGGGGTGGGGAGCAGAGGGAGGAGAAAGGTAGCAGAGCAAATTTAATATAAGCCACTTCCTTCCTACACTGTCTGTAGTACAGACGGGCCATGAAAACACTGTGTTTTCACAGCTTCATCTGGAATGGCAGTTAATATGAGCAATACTTTAAGCCCATGAGATGGTTTACAATATTTAATACTTTAAGATATCAGGACCTACTCTTCAAAGCGGGTTTGACTAATACTTCAGGCTTTAAGCTTTCTCAGACTTGGGTTGCTAATCTCTCACAATGTACACTCACCCACTGGTGGTGTGTGAAAAGGAGGTTTGCAAGCTTACTGGTTTCCACTTTGGTTTTAGAGTAATAATTTTGATTTTTAA